AAAACGACACTGGCAACAAGCCAATCCAAGTGAATATTTATCACCTCCTTACAGGGTGGATTTGATTTAAATCAAACTGATTTAAATCACGATTTAAATCACAATTTAAATCACTAGTCAGTAAGGCTTGATTTAAATCCTAGTTTTCTACATAAAGACTACTTCTTGCTGGTATAACTTTAATATGCAAGTAGATGAAGATTTTTAGAATAACAACTTTTCATATTAGTTTTTTATCCCCAGTTTTATAGGTTAATTATTCATATTTGGACAACTTTTCTGTTGTACTTAGGAAGGAGAAAAATAATCATTACCTTAATAACAATTTAAATAGATTTATTCAACTGAAACAATAACCTTCCAGCATATGTTATTTGCTTAAACATCCATGTTTGTTAACTAATTTGGCTAAACAAAATATATATATTTTAAGAAACTTAGACTGTCAGCCCCTTCCTCCTCACACTTAGTTTCACTTTCTTCTTGTGCAGATCTATTCCACTCCAAACAATCAGAAAAATATTGTTTCTATTCTATTCACTGAACTTCTTGAAAGTTAGCACTGAAGGGGTTGATTCTGTATTCATAGGTTTGTAGAAGTTAGGATTAAGGTCTTTTTCTTAACTCTGTTCATGTTATAACATTTTTGCTGTGAAGAAGAGGCATGTGATCTCCGCTGAGTCAAATTCAGTTTTGAGAACTGCAAAGTAAACCAAGCATCTGTGATAATATCTTGTAGGCAGAGAAACTGCCCAATGATCTTACAAAAACCTCTGGAAGAGCATGACATTGTGAATGGATTCATGGAATTTATTTACCAAAAAAATTAAACATATACAGCCTTATTCTACATAATTAAAAAACTAATCTTTATTTCATGATGGAATAACCTTTGGATGGTAATATATTTTCCTCAAAAAGCATTTTATTTTAAAAAAATCCGATTTAAATCAAAAAAATACGATTTAAATTAAAAAAATCCGATTTTTTTATTTTTTAAAAAAAATCATTGATTTTTATCCACCCTGCCTCCTTATATATTTCAGGCTCCTGTATGAAAGAAGATCTCTAAACACTATCTGTGTCCACTGTAGGATAGTTACATTAGGTTACCAAAGTAAGAATTTACAAGAGGATCACCTTTTCTGTGAAATGAAACCCTAAAATCCAGGGACTCATCTTGTTTTTTTTTTGGGGGGGGGGGGGTGTTTACCCCAATCACCCTGCATAATGGTTATATTTGTGATATGTTCATTATTCTAAGTTGCCGTGGAAACATATTGCTTCTTTGGTTACAGTTTCTAAAAGGTTGACAACATATAGATATTGCATAGTAATACCTTTTTAAGTTCACAGACATACATGGTCATCAGAGCTATATGCAGTTCTACATTTATTGTTTGTGTGCCTGTTCCAGCCGAAACTAAAGCCTCTATTGCACCCCAGCTTGGTCTCTGCAGCACCCACAGCCTCAGTCTACAATGCACTTGTGTCCATCATTGCACTTCAGCTCCACACAGCCTAAGCAGCACCCACTGCCTCAGCTTTGCCATCCCTGTACCCACAGCCTTTAGTCGGTTTCATGGTTCCAGCTACCCAATGCCTTGTGCCTCTCTCACACTCCAGTTCATCCTCATCTGGCACCTTCCCTTTTCCATGAGTATCTGTTAAGTGACCTGGGGGTAGCCAGCAGCTAAGCCCAGACCCCTGTGAGGGGATCCTTGGTGTAACACAAGCTACGTATTAGATTCCACTTTCAGTGGAAGCAGCCAAACAGAGGGGCAGGGTCCTCATTTCAAGTTGTAAGGTTATTGATGAGATATCTGCCTATCTGCTGTGACAACAATGACTGCTAAGAACCAGTCATAATGGCCACAGCAGGTGGGCAGATATCTCACCAATAACCTCACGACTTGAAATGAGGACCCTGCCCCTCTGTTTGGCTGCTTCCACTGAAAGTGGAATCTAATTCTTGTACGACAGAATACAACTTCAGAAGTGATGTAATGTATTGTAATGTATTCTTTTGTTTCTGAGCATGTATGGTCCTGGTCTTCTGATTTTTTTGGGACGAATGCTGTACTGATTAAACGAAAACTGTACGTTCTGGTATCTTACAAGAAAAAATTTCATGTTTGTCCCTCCAGATAATTTCACATGAACGGTCATGATCAGCTCTCAAAAGCTGTGTACTAAGGATCAGATTATCAGACGATCACTTTGAAAGCGGTATTTTAAAATAAAGATTCCATGATGGAAAGTAGGAACTTTGCATCATGAAAGCTTTATTTTATTACAGAGTATGTAATGTATGTAAGACTAGTCAGGACACCCAAACCCCTAGATGAACAATTGAAAAGTCAGAAATCATAACAGTGAGACCCTTCCTTTGGATTACCCAAAAAGCCAGGGGCTGGTAGAGCTGCCCAGGCTTTATTGCCAAGTAAAATATCACTTTTGGCTGCATAGGTTCCCTTACTACTCTTGCACATGTACAGATAAAATCCCATTCATCCCTATGAAAAGGCCATTATCATGTCCCAACGACAAATGGTGTCTATTGGATTAAATGGGACAGGCTGAGAGATTTTCAGCAGTGGCTGTGCGGATCCTCTTGGGCCACACAGTGTGGCCCTGGCAGGAGCATGGGCAGATGAGCATTAGACGTCGGGGGTGACTATAGGTAAGTATATCTATTCTTTGAATACATTAGATCTACTGCAGTTTTCTATTTAAAAACCGCCTGTTCAGAAACAAGTGTTGGAAAAGTAACATTTTTATTCACAGTCTTTCCCAAAGGGATTGAATTTGTGAGTCATGCCTACTAGATAACGTTCTGGTTATGCCGTCTTGTGCAGGAGAACACAAAGGCGGCAATAGGTTTAAGAGAAAACAGAAATTTAAATTTATCACAGTGATGTCTTGCCCCATGGCTCCGAGAAGTCTGCCAGTTCAGGACACAGAAGAGGGGCAGTGCAGATTCCTTTCCTGGCATGTAAGTGGCACATCATGATGGGAATGGTGAAAGGAAAGTAAATGCAGGGGCTGGAGAGACTAGTCAAGGAAACATCAAATTACAGAACTAGCTATAGCTGTAGCTTTATATTTCACAAGGTATGCTTCTCATAGAGGGTCTGCATGACTGCAATGTAGGTTTCCAGTTTCAGGTTTATTATACAGATCCCAAGGGTGGGCAGATAACATGACTTGTTCTGTGCTATTGTCAGATAACATCAGGGGTCTCACCTGCAGCTGAAATGAAGGCGGAAACATGCAATTACTTCATTTTCCTTTTCATGACCCAGTGTTTCCATCATGTCATCTCTCTAAATATATCACACTGGGTGTGCCAAATTCACACAGGTCAGAGAATATAGCATTGTCCTTTACGCTTATTGAGGAATTTATCCGCTATACCAACATAGACTGCAGTATGAGCCGGGCCTTGGGAGGAAATCGGGTTAGATGAACCCATTTGTTATGACATTATTTTGTAAGTCTATCAAACCCAACATTGGGAGGTAGAAACTTGCCATTCAACTGTATTTCAACCCAAGAAAAAAATTTAATACTGCAGCTTACCAGTCCTTAGATATGATGGCTGCATTCGTTTTCTTTTTTTAGGCTCTTTTCTTGATTTTCACCTGGTGATCCTGTTTTTACATACTCCTAATACTATGGGTAAGAATCTTCACTCACTGTACTGTACCTATGAGGCAGCATCATTGTCACTAAAAGTGTGCTAGGACTACAGAAACACTCCCTTATCTTCATTATCTCCTAAGAGAGAGCTGGGAACAATGTAATTGATATGAAAGCAGCACAGGCAGAGAGCAAAGGAGGTTAAGCCTCGTACACACATTGAGAATATTAGACAAAGAATCATCTGTTTTTGTTTTTTTTTTGCACGCTAGTCTCGTATCAAAAATGAGGTTACTAAAGTTACGAGAATTCTTGTATGACAGAATGCAACTTCAGAAGTGATGTAATGTATTGTAATGTATTCTTTCGTTTCTGAGCATGTGTGGTCCTGGTCTTCTGATTTTTTTGGGATGAATGCTGTACTGATTAAACAAAAAAAATTGTACGTTCTTGTATCTTTCAAGAAAAAATTTCATGTTTGTCCCTCCAGATAATTTTGCATGAACTGTCGTGATCAGTAAATAAATAAATTATTGTGCTGCGCTCCCTAAAAACAAAAACAGCATGTGCATATATATCAATTTTCAGAAACATGCAATAACCCTCTTAATTGTGTTCCACTAAAAATCCACCCATGCAGCAAAAACATCCCAATATAATACACAAAAAATCCTCATAAAAAAATCACCCATGCATCAAAAATCATCCCAGTGTAATAAACAAAAGTCCTCTTTCCCATAAATCAGCTTCAATCAAATGGATTAATTCCAGGTTTCCAAGTTCCTTATAGCAACACTGCTGCTCTTTTATGCGCTCACCTCAATTCATAGCCTGTCAGGCTAATAAACGCAGTTTATCCCACATGAGGATGAAGGATCCCTTGGATGACCACCACCTTCTTTGGATCTCTCCACACTTCAGTGTTCCTGATTAACCACCTGGACACTTAATCCTCTTCTATGGACATACGGATAAATGGATATAATATGCCTCTTCCACCCCTCCTGGGGAATGAACCTCCTAAAGATTACTCCAGCAATCTCCACATGTATGGTAATAAAGGGAAACAAAGAATAGTGCTTTATCCTTTTAAAACACTTTGTTGCAAAACTAAGTTTTGCCACACTCACATTGTAACAGATAAAAACAAGCCCATCAGTAAAAATAGCCATCAGTGTGTATCACACTCTCTCTCAGTACTCGCCGTATCACAGAAAAGCCGATGGTGACGTCAGAGCCCCTCCCCTACGCGTTACACCTCTGGTCACGTGCCTTCATCAGGGGGAATTGAAGCCACGTGACCAGAGGCGTAACGCGTAGGGGAGGGGCTCTGACGTCACCGCGTTCCATCGGCTTTGCTGTGATACGTGTAAACAGGGAAATGCCGCTTATCGGTATTTCTCTCCTCTCGAGCTGTCACGCTGACAGCTCGAGAGGAGAGGAGAGCCGGTAATCGGCTTTCCGCAGAAGGGACATGTACACTGATCATCAGGGCACTGATGATCAGTGTGCCCTGATGATCAGTGTAGCCCCAGCAGTGCCACCTATCAGTGTCCACCAGTGCCTTGTGTCAGTGCTCATCAGTGCTACAACAATGCAATATATAAGTGCCCATCTGAGCTGCCTTTCAGTGTCACCCATCAGTGCCACCTATCAATGCCAATCAGTGCCGCCTATCAGTGCCACCTATCAATGCCAATCAGTGCCGCCTAACAGTGCCAGTCAGTGCCATCTATCAGTACCAGTCAGTGCCACCTATCCTATCAGTGCTGCCTATCAGTGATGCCTGGCAATGCCCATCAGTGCCACCTACCAGTGCCTCCTCATCAGTGTCCTTCAGTGCCACCTATCAGTGTCCATCAGTGCAGCCTATCAGTGCCCATCACTGCAGCCTCATTAGCGCACATCAGTGGAGAAAAATCACTTATTTACAAAATTTTATAACAAAAACTAAGAAAAAACTTTAAAAAAAAAAACAAACAATTTCAGTGGTTTTTGGTTTGTTTAAGAGAAAATAAAAAACCCAGAGGTGATTAAATACCACCAAAATAAAGCTCTATCTGTCCCCAAAAAATGATACAAATTTCATATGGGTACAATGTTGCATGACCGCGCTATTTTCATTCAAAGTGCGACAGCGCTGAAAGCTGGAAATTGGCCTGGGCAGGAAGGGGGTATAAGTGCCCTGTAGTCTAGCGGTTAAAGTGCTTGTAAAGGCTCAAAGTTTTTTACCTTTTTTTTTATGCATGAAGGTAAAAAACCTCCTGTATACAGCAACCACCCCAATACTTACCTAAGCTCCATCTCAATCCAGCAATGTGCACGAAAGCCTTGGTTCTCCAGAGACTCTTCCTCCTCATTGGCTGAGGCAGTAGCGGAAGCCATTGGCTCCCGCTGCTGTCAATCACAGCAAGCGAGCCAATGAGGAGAAAGTAGTTGGGCCGACCTATGGCTGTGTGTGTGAATAGACACACAGAGCAGTGGCTTGGGAGTGATCCTGCCTAGGTGCCCCCCTAGCAAGCTGCTAGCTCTAGGGGCACTTGGCAGGAGGTAGGGGCCAGGAGTGCCAGAGAAGAGGAGGATCAGGACTGCTCTGTGCAAAAAACCTGCAAACCACTGCATACAGCAGGTAAGTATGACATATTTGTTTTCTTTTTAGTTTTGTTTTTTTAACTTGCCTTTACTATCACTTTAACTATTCACTCACTGCTCTACTACCTTATTTTCATTAAATTTTTGTGGCTTACACTTTTTTATATTATAGTGTGTTTCCTTTCTTCAGTTTTCATAGTATCAAAGCAAATACATATGCACGTTTTAAAAATGCTTTTATTTAATTAGTAACTAGTTTCAGCATGATTTTGTACAATTAATTCAAATGTCATGATAACCAGGACATACTGCATTATATTATTTGATTGTATATATTCCTCCAGAACATCAAAAAACATCCTCTAGAATGTCCAAAACAATACAAAAGTCTACCACTTAAATGGTTGAAACAATTGAGTACTGTCCGTGATACTTTTTTTATTTGCACTAACAAGGACAAGCTTTTGGGGTATGTCCCCTTCTTCAAAGTCCAAACAGTACGGCTACAATCACCTCAACTTAAATGGTTAAAACCGCTTCAATGCAAGATGCCAAAATCCATATCAAGCGTTATAAATCAAGACATACTTCAAGCTTTCGCCAAGAGCATCCTATGTGTAAAGTGAGGATATTAACTTTTTTCAGCCTCTCAAAAGCCAAGAACACAGTGAATGATATCTGAAAATTATCTTTCCAGAACCTGTGCACACAAACACAAAAAATCCCAGGCCTGGAACAATTCCAGCAATCATGGCGAGCCGTCCGTGTGCATCTCAGCCCTGAAGCATAAGCAATCATCTTATGGTTTTCGAATTAGACTTTTGTTTTTCACATTAAATATGACCACTGTACCCTGTCCAATGGAAACTATGGAGGTATCATCAATTTTCTGCAGAGCGACAGAGGTTTAAACAATTACACAGCCCTGGGACTGAGGAGCAGAATGCAGCGGTGGTGTAAATTCACATAATAATCACTGATGGCATCGTGTACACAAAACGTCACAACAACAGCCTGTACACAGTGCCCATGGTTACATAACCAAAATCAGTACACACACCAAGTTGGAGGACTTAAAAGATTAAAATAGAAAGCTGTGGTACCTTTTATTGGATCATCCTCAGAATTCTTTGGAGACTGAATCATTGGATGTGAGAGGAAGATAAAACATCTTCTTTTCTGTGGTAACCCTAATCCTGCTGGCACACTTGAAGTATTAGGACTGTACGGCCGTTCATCTGAACACTAATATTATTATTATACAGGATTTATATGGCGCCAACAGTTTGCTCAACACTTTACAATATAATGGGAGACAATACAGCAATAATACAGTTCAATACAAGAGGGATAGGAGGGCCCGATCCTTGGAGCTTACAATCTAAGACTAAGCTTCATACAGCAGAGCACCGCACATAAAATTTAGGTTTTCTATATTGTAGGTTAACCACTTGCCTACCAGGCACTTATACCCCCTTATTTACCAGGCCAATTTTCAGCTTTCAGCGCTGCCGCACTTTGATTGACAATTGCTTTTTTTGGCGCGGTCATGCAACATTGTACCCATATGAAATTTTGATCATTTTTTTCTCACAAATAGAGCTTTCTTTTGGTGGTGGGCGCTTTACTTTTTGCGCTATAAATAAAAAAAGTGCAAAAAATTTGAAAAAAAAAAAAAGTTTCTTTGTTTCTATTATAAAATTTTTCAAACAGGCATTTTTTCTCCTTCACTGATGTGCGTTGATGAGGCAGCACTGATGGGCACTGATAGGCAACACTGATAGGCACTGATAGGCAGCACTAATGAGGTGGCACGGATAGGCGGCACTGATAGACAGCACTAATGAGGTGTCACGGATAGGCGGCACTGATAGGTGACACTGATGATGGGTACTGATAGACGGCACTGACTGGCATCACTGCTGGGCACTGACTGGTGGCACTGACTGGCACAACCCCTGGGCACTGACTGGCACTGACTGGCAGCACTGCTGGGTGGCACTGGTGGGTGGGCACTGGTGGGCACAGGTGGGTGGGCACAGGTAGGTGGCACTTCTGGGCACAGGTGTGTGACACTGCAGAGTGGCACAGGTGTGTGACACTGCAGAGTGGCACAGGTGGGTGCACTGCTGGGCACAGGTGGGCGGAGCTAGTGGGCGCACTGCTGGGCACAGGTGGGCGGAACTTGCGGGTGGCACTGCTGGGCACCGATCATCAGGGCACTGATCATCAGTGCCCTGATGATCGGTGCCGATCCCCGCTCTGACAACTGCCGGTTCTCGGCAGTACTTTCCTCACGATCTGACAGCGTGAGGAAAGTGCAGCCGAGAACCGGCACTTGCATTTCCCTTTGATCAGCGTGTCATTGGACACCGCTGATCACGTGGTAAAAGGCCGCTGTGATTGGCCTTTTACCACATCACGTGATCAGCTGTGTCCGTAGGACACAGCGATCACGGAGATCGCTGGGTGCGCGCCCCAGCGCGTTCTGGGAGGACGCATATGACGTCCACCCAGAACTGGCCGGCCACAGTGCAGCCGTCATTCGGCTATCTGCGGTCGGCAGGTAGTTAAATAGAGAATTAAGGTGGATTTAAATCCAAAAAGCAAACATTTATTATATTGCAGCTTATCAATTTTAACCCTAGGTTCACACCTAAGCGTTTTCTGCAGCGTTTTGCAGAAACACACTGCAGTCCATTTAACATGATTTCTGTACAAAATGCATGTGCAAAAACGTGTCAAAAACGCATATGCAAAAGCACAAAATGCAACTCAAAATGCACTGCAGAAACGGATCAAACGCAAACTGCATAGGTGTGAACATAGCCTTAGATGTGATGGCTGCATTATTTTTCTTTTTTAGACTTTTTTTTCTGCTAATTTCATCTGGTGATACAGCCAGTAAGTCTGTTTTTCAAAGAACAAGGTATCTAGAAGGATACAGTTGCAAGAAAAAGTATGTGAACCCCTTGGGATTACGTGGAGTTTTGCATGAATTGGGCATAAAAATGTGCTCTGAACGTCATCTAAGTCACAACAATAGAAGAACACACAGTCTGCTGAACATAATACTACACAAACATTAGATTTTGCCATGGTTTAATTGCACATAACATGAAACATTCACAGTGCAGGGAGGAAAAAGTATGTGAACCTTTGGACTTAATAACTGGTTGACCCTCCTTTGGCAGCAATAACCTCAACCAATCGTTTCCTGTAGTTGCAGATTAGACCTGCACAATGATCTGGAATTTTGGACCACTCCTCTTCAAAAACTGTTTCAGTGTAGCAATATTCTTGGGATGTCTGGTGTGAATCGCTCTCTTAAGGTCATGCCACAGCATTTCAATCGGGTTGAGGTCAGGACTCTGACTAGGCCACTCCAGAAGGCGTTTTTTGTGCTGTTGCAGTCATTGTTTTGTTGAATTACTTGTATGCTTTGGGTCCTTATCCTGTTGCATCACCCATCCTCTGTGGAGCTTCAGTTGGCGGACAGATGGTCGTACGTTTTCCTGCAAAAGTCTTGATAAACTCTGGAATTCATTTTCCCATCAATGACAACAATCCGCCCAGGCACTGAGGCAGCAAAGCAGCCCCAAACCATGATGCTCCCTCCGCCATGTTTTACAGTGGGGATGAGTTTTGATGTTGGTGTGCTGTGCCTTTTTTTCTCCACACATAGTGTTGCCTGTTCTTCCCAAACAACTCAATCTTGGTTTCATCTGGCCAGTAGTGCTGTGGAACATCCAGGTGCTCTTTTGCAAACTTCAAAAAGTGCTGCAAATTCTTTTTGGAAAATGGCTTCCTCCGTGCAGTCCTACCATGTACTCCATTCTTGTTTAATGTTTCCTTATTGTAGATGTGTCAACAAAAATGTTAGCATGTGCCAGAGATTTCTGTAGGTCTTTAGCTGACACTCTGGGATTCTTCTTTACCTCATGCAGCATTCTGCGCTGTGCTCTTGCAGTCATTTTTACAGGACGACCACGCCTAGGGAGAGTAGCAACAGTGCTAAACTTTCTCCATTTGTAGACAGTCTGTCTTACCGTGGACACATGAACATCAAGGCTTTTGGAGATACTTTTGTAACCCTTTCCAGCTTCATGCAAGTCAACAATTCTCGATCGTAGGTC